CGCTCTTAAGCCGCCTCCACGCGCCGGCGGCGGCCGCGCCAGCGCTAAGCTCAGCCTAAGCCGCGCAGCGCCATGGAGAGCGGCAGCAAGGTGAGAGCCCGGCCCGCCGCGCCTCTCGCCTCGGGAATGCGGCGGCGGCGCCTCTTCCGTGGGGCGGGACGGGGCCCGGGGGGAGGCCGTGGGGCCGTCGCGCCTCGTCCCTGCGGCGTTCCCGGGGTGTCGCTGCGGCTTTGGGAGCCCTAGCTCCCCGTGGGGGGTGTGGGGTGGGCTGTGGGGCTGCGTGTGCCAGGCTGCCCCCTGGGGTCCCTGGTGCCCTGTCCCTGTGGGGCCGGGAGCCCCCGGGCTGCCCCCCGTGGGGCTGGTGGTGCTGACCCCAACCCCTTTGGGGCTGTGGGGCTGGAGCCCCCAGGCTGCGCCCCATGGGGTCGGTGCTGCCGCCTCTGCCCCCCAACCCCTGTGGCCCGGGCTGCTCCCTGTGTGGCTGGAGCCCCCAGGCTGCTCCCCGTGGCATCAGTGGGGCTGGCTCTGCCCCCCAACATCCTTGGGTCTGTGGGTCCCCAGGCTGCCCCTGTGGGGCTGGCTCTGCCCCACACCCTGCTTGGGGCGCTGCCCATCCCGGCTGGTGCCGCTCGGAGCCCTCTGTGTTTACACCCTGCGCAGGTGAATTATACAACAGCCCGGCGCCGCAGCRGGACCGGGACCGGGCGCTGCCGCAGCCCTCCTGGGCCGGGCCCTGCACCCGGGCAAAGCTGCCGCCTCGCTGGGCCTGGGCCGGGCCTGCGCCCCAGCTCGGCCTCCGGACACGGCCCAAGGGACGTTTTTCCTGGGACTTGGCAGCCCTGCGGTCCAGTAATGTCCCACTGGTCCCAAAATAGTCCCAAATGCAGGTGCGGGGCTTAGCAGGATCCCTGGCTCTGTACAGCAGCGTTAACCCCTTCGCTGTGCCGTGGCCCGTTTTGTTTTTAAYGGGAGGCAGGATTAAGACATAAAGTGGTGGCAGGCAGCTCCTCTGAGCATTGTGGCCTGGAAAAGCGCGTTTCCTCTGGCTCACGCTTGGCTGTGCTTCTTGTTTTCTCAAAAAAAAAGATGTTTAAGGAAGGGGCAGAGCTGAGAAAATAAGTGCCAAGGAGCAAGCAAGTGCTGTGCAGCGCGGAGGACGGAGAGGAAGCGAGCAAGGCGATGGGACGGCCCGAGGAGAAGTGTCGTGGGGCTCCTGGTGGGAATTCCCGGCTGCCCATCCCGGTATCCACAACATCCTGCAATGTTGTGGGTCCCGGCGGGGTGACCCATGGCAGTACCGGGGTGCAGCCAAAACTCAGTGCGTCCCRCGCTCCTCTTGTATCGGTTCAAGCTAAATCGATCTTCTTGGGTGGGAGAAGCCCCCAATTGGTGCATGATGGGGAGGAATTGAGCGAAGAGCAGCCACGGAGGAGTTTGAGCTCGTTCAGACCAATTGATCCGCTGTAATGGAGGTGGTTGAACCGGTGCAGCCCCGTGGGTGCGAGAGGACCTGACGGGCAGTTGATTTGTGGGTGTTAAACCGCAGAGCAGGCGATGGAGGTGGGAGATGTGGCCCCTTGTTGGGTGCTGTCCCCAAGCCGAGGGGGCACTGGCTTCCCTGCTGGACGGAGCTGGCTCTTTGGCAGAGGTTTTAGGTGGGTTTGCACCTTCCTTCCAGGCAAGGAAGCTRAAAGTGACTTTTTTTGTGAAGCTGGGTGCTGGACAAGACGTTGTCTGCCGCGTAATTGAAGATCTTGCTGTAATTAAGCTCGGTGCGGCCACCCAGGCCACTTCTGGGCTCTGTTGGTGACGCTTGTAAAACAAGTGTTCRTCCCTGGGCTGGCCCTGTTGGGCTTTCTGGGCTGGCCCCTCTAAGCTGGGAATTTTTACTTCCACATTTCCCTTTCCCTGGCTGCAGAAGGCACTTTGGGAGCTGCAGGTTCTATTTTCATACACAAATACATCTGTTTTTCAGTTTGTTGCGGTCATGTTTTGGGCACTGCCGGGGGTGGCAGCGTTGGCACACGGAGCACCCACGAGGAGCGGGTTGGGAATAGGTTTGGAAGCGGGAGCCTGGGGACAGGACCGAGCAGCTGCAGCACAGGGAGGAATTAGCCAAACTCGCTCTTTTCCGTAACAAAGAAGCCCCCTGCACCGGGGGCCAAATCCAGACAGCAGCGGGGCGAACGGAGGCTTGCAGCGAGCAGCGCTTTAACCCCCCTGTTAGATAAATCCAGGTTAGAAATCAAGTGCCGCCTTTTTTATAAGCGAGTAATTAATCGCCGGGGCAATCTGGCGCTTAATCCGGAGCGTGCGCTCCCRAAGAGGGGCCGTTTTGACGGCAGCGCGGGGCTCTGTTCCCTGGGAGGTCGGGCTGGAGCCCGCGGGGGTCCCCGGGCTGCAAATCCCAAGGAAAGCTCCCGGTGCYGTGGAGGGGACGGCGGGGTGGGAGCGGGAGGGCCCCGCTGGTGCTAATGGCGCCGGGGTGGCAGCTGCTGCCTCTGCCCCGCTTGTCCTGGCTCTTTGCATAAGAAAAGCGCCGCGGAGACTCGTTATTTAACCGCGAGCCCGCGTCCCCGGCTAACCTCTTTAAAAAATAATTACGTGAAAGTCCCGTTCTGCCTCGGCGAGCTTCCCCGCGCGCCGCGGCGGTGCCGGATCTGCTCCCTGGCCTTGCGTCTGCCTAAGTCCCCCCCGCTTTAAAATTGTGCCTTTTTTACCAGGCACTTGAGCGTGCCTTTTTTACCAGGCACCTCCTGAGGGATAGTTTGCAGGGTGAGTTTCCCCCAGGCAGGGAGCCAGTGCGAACGCAGTGTTATCTGTGGCCTCCTCCAGCCCTCCCCGTGCCTCCCGGGAGGGAACCAATGCCGCGGATTCGTGTGCGGTCTTGCTGGGGAAGAGGAGGCCGGAGCGGCGGCCCTTGCCGCGTCCCTGCGGCCGCATCTCCATTAGGAGGAAGGCTGCCTGCATGTCCTGCGCGTGCCGCCGGCTCCTCCCCGTGACGCCGGAGCTCCGTGGCGCYGCGCGAGGCTCCGGCGCCCCGAAACGAGCGGCCAAGGGAAGGGCTTGAGCATCCGTGGAGCGGCCGGGCCCTCCTCCGAGCGCYGCCGCCTCCATTGGCTGCGCGGGACGAGCCTCCTCGGAGCGGGAGCTGCCCTTGCGCTTGTTCCCTCGGGAAGCTGCTCGGAGCAGGGAGAAGGCTCCGCGCGCTGGGGAAGGTGCTGCCTCCCCGGCGCTGGAGGGGGGCATCTCCCGTCTGCTCCCTCTCCGTGCCCGGCGGAAGGCTCTTGTTTTGCCGGTTTCCCTGCCCAGGCCGCGCTGGTTTCGTCACCCGAAACCTCCGCGGGCGCCGTCCTGCAGCGCCCGCCGCCGGCATGGGGGGGGTTCCGCGTGCGGGGCGGGATCCGCTCCAGGCGGCTCGCCTGGCACCCCTTGGAGCCCCATTATCCAAAGGGGGGACCCTCCATTCCCAGCCAGCCGGCAGAGCTGGGCGAGCCGCGCTTGGCTCGGCAGCAGGTTCCGCGGCGCCTTATCTTTATGGCCTGCTCTAATTGTGCATCTTCCTGAAATCCCCTCCCGGGACTCTYGTAATGAATTGCTCACTTCCTTATTCCATGAGGCAGGCAGCATCCTTAAGATTCCTATGACTCGGGAGCGGGAAAAAGTGTCCCCTAAAGGGTGAGGGCAGTGAGCGCTCGGAGGGGGGGCGCCACTGGAAGCGGGCGCTGGGGTGGATGTAGGGATGCAGCTGGGAGCGGCTCCCGGTGGATGTGGGGATGCAGCTGGAAGCAGGTGCCAGGGTGGATGTAGGGATGCAGCTGGAAGCGGCTCCCGGTGGATGTGGGGATGCAGCTGGAAGCAGGTGCCAGGGTGGATGTAGGGATGCAGCTGGAAGCAGCTCCCGGTGGATGTGGGGATGCAGCTGGAAGCAGGTGCCAGGGTGGATGTAGGGATGCAGTTGGAAGCGGCTCCCGGTGAACGTGCCGCCGCTGCAGGTGAAGTTGGGCCGGGTCTGGCGTGAGTCACCCGGCTCCCCGTGACGCTCCTCGATGTCCTTCCCTATTTGGGCAGTGAAGGAAGACGGAAATAGCAAAGCAAAACTCGCCCCGTGCTGAGCCCTGAACTCCCATGCCCGCTTGAAAGCAGGAGTTTTTATTGCCTCTCTAAGCACAGCTACTGAAAAGCCGCAGGTCGGTTTGAGCAGGGCCACGCATGCAGAGATGGTCTCCTTGCTAGGACCCCTCTGAAGAGGCTGCACAGAGGCTTCTTCGAAGGAGAAACAGCTCAGAAGTGAGAAAGGGAAACCCTTATTTTGACTCTCCTTTTCCAAAGCTCCTGTTTTCTGTTAAGCCCCAAGTGAAGGGTTAAATAAAACAGAACTTGTGCCTGGTTTTACAGGGCTCTCCCATGCAAAGCAGCCAATGGGGATGGGCTCTTTTCAGCTCACCAGCCTTTGTGTGTTTTTTCTTTTCTTTTTTTTTTTTTTTATGGAGTAGTTAAAGCCAAAATACTCCTGGCCTAGCTGCAGCTTGGTTGCTTTCTGTGTGAAGAGACACTCGCCAAAAGTTCTGAGCGAAGGAGCTTTTGTGGGGTCGCTTTGCCTCCAAGTTTGCAGCGTTTCTCAACTTAAATCTRAAAGTATCTGCCCAAGATTAAACATGCAAGCAGGGCAATGTGTTTTCTTTGCAGGCAGCTTAAGGGCATGGGAAATACTAGGGACAAAGTCCTTTTTATGGGGATTTTTGGTAGGATAACTTTTGTAGCATGGCAGGAAATGCACTCTTGGAGCTTAAGGTTTTCATTCCTTGAATGCTAGAGCTCGGTCATAGCAAAATGTTCCTTATTTTTTCCCCCTCCCTTGTTTCCACCAGGGCATCCTGGTGCAGATGCTCAGCGCTCAGCTGTGTTGGTGTTARCAAATTTGTTAGCAAACAGCAAGCGAGCGCTGGCGCAAACCCCTTGTAAGGCRATGTTGCCACCCGTGATCTTCCCGGAGTAAAGTTCATATCCTGAATAATGTGTCCCCGTTGGGGACCGTCACCGTGGCCTTTTATAAAAAAAAACCTGGGCAAACAAGGAGTGTTGTAACGGAGTGTGAGTCACCGTGCTGCCTGCCTGCCTAGTGTTTCCTGCTCTCCCCAAACGTGCCGGAGTTGGGATCGATTCCGAGCGGTCCCGGGTGTGCGGAGGGGAGATGGGACCTTAAATGAAGCTAAAATCACCTGCAAGGAAGGGAAAAAAAAAAACAACAAACCATCAGGAACAAAAAAAAAGCAAAAACTGCCACTTTTCTACCAGGGCTCTTGCTCTGACCCCTTTAAATGCAGGGCTCAGGCTTTGCCAGGCAGCAAAGCCTTGGGATGACGAGGTGGGAAGCAGCATTCCCACATGAGCAGGGAGCGCCCGGACACACACCGTGGCCTCGTTGGGGTCTTCGTGGGACCCCCGGCAGCTTTCGGAGCACCCRAGCTGCCGCTTGCACTGAAACGGGCATTTTTGTCTTCCAAAGCCTTCAGCTTTGCTCGACAGAGTGTCCGCACCACCCTGCTTGCTTGTGAAATGGGATTGTTGTGCTCAGGCCAATCCTAATTAATGGCCTTTAATTAACAGGGTTGGCTTTATTTCCTGAAGCTTTTCAGGGCCTCCCTGCCGCTCTTCCCTGTGAACTTCCTAATTCCCTGCTAATATGGAGGCAAGTGGCTTGGCAGGAGAAGTGAGTCCAGGGAGTTGCTGCTGCTCCGTGTTTACATTTAAGAATATATTACTTTTAGCTTCCGTCAGTATTCCCGATTTTAGGAGCGTTGCATTAAGGTGAACCTGACAGCAAATACTTCTTTTTGGAGCTGCCAAATCCTTGCCCGAGACCCCTGGGGAGCAAAAGGGGGGTGRATGGAGCTAGAGAGGCTGCAGTGGCTTCATCGCACTTCCCCCTTCCAGTGCTATTTTTAGTGATCCTGCTAAAAATAACCGCTTGGGAGCTGTTGAATGCAGAGCGATAGTGGGGCCGTGGTCCTGGCTGCCCCAGCTACCGCGTCCGCTAAGCGGCAGCTGCGTTTTTGGGGTGAAATCGGCCCGGATTTGGGGCTGGCAGGAGGGCTGGCGTGCAGCGGTGAGGAGCTTTGGGTGTGCCGGTCTCTGGCTGAAAACAATGCGGGTTGCACTGACTGTGCCCACGGCTTTTAATGGCACAGGGAGCTGCCCGAGCCCTGTGAAATGACCCATAAAYGGGGCCGGGAGGCAGCGCAAGCCTCCCTGCGAAGGGCCGGATCCGTCTGGTTGCCCTGGGACCYGCTCAGCTGCTGCAGTCGCCCTCGAGTCCCTGGGACTAGTGGTTTTCCTTTAGGAAAGCAGGGAATGCCAGGATGGGGTTTTGGGAGAGCTTTGGGTCGGGACAGAAGGTTCAGGTGGTACCCGCGGTGTTTTGGGATGGGGCGCGGAGAGGGATGAGGGCCCCTACTCTGTCCTCCTTTCTGGCAGCCGGATCCATGCCCTTCAATCCAGCCACTGAAGGAGCTGGGCGAGGGGTTCCTGGAGAAATGCAGTGTGTCTGGGAGGAGATTCCTGGGATTGAGGGATGCGGGATGCGCCGGCTCCCGTTGCGATGCTGCGGCCTCGCTCAGGCACCGTGTTAATATTGCTTAGCGTTGGGCATGGCATCTCCAAGCTGTTGGACGCGGAGAGCATTGGACATCTAAAGCATGGATTTTTACTTTCCTTAGYAGGAAAACAGAGGGTGAAAGAGTTTTCTTTGCAAGCAGCGCAGGCAGAGAGGGGCGAGCGGGAAGACGTGCAGCTGGCCGAGCGAGCTGCAGGGTCACGGAGTTAGCAGGAGAGAAGTGCCAGGGTTGCTTCAGGTGGCAGCGGTGGCCTCGGTGACAAGGGGACAGCGTGTGGCCCTGGGCAAAGCGCTCGCGCCGAAACGCGCGCCGCTTCCGAGAAGCAGCGCCGCGCCTGCAGGGAAGGGGCTTTAATTTCACGTGAGCGTCCCAAAGCTGATTAACCAAACTTGGGAACATCGAATCCTAGTTCTCAGGGCGCCGCGGCCGGACCGAGCAACGGGAAAATCTCCTGCCTGGGATAATTGGGCCATTGACGAAGGTGTCCCAAGTGCTGGCCTGCCCCGACCTTGCTCCGAAACAAGCCTCCGATTGTTGCTTTAGCTTAAGCAGGAGAAAGAGGAGGTGGGCGAGCCCTTGCCAAGTAGCCAGAGGCACTGAGGCGTTGTATAAACGCGGGGATTTTTGCTTCATAAGTGTGAATTAGGCTCTGACACAAACCTTTGTTGGCGATGACTGAACCATGTTGTCTGGGGCATCTCTGCCTCCGCCGTGGGCAGCACCGGACCGTCCAGCTCCTCCTGGAGAGCTAACCAGGAGKATCAGGGTCACGGCAGGCCTCGGATGGCCTCGTCTTCCTGGGAATGCTGAGCAAGGAGAGAGGGAAAGGGGTGTGTGCTTCCTCCAAAGTGCAAGGAGGCGAGCAGTGCCTGGATGAGAGCCTTGCCGCGGGAGCATCGGCCGCACCTGGGTGCTCTGGAGAGAGGTCAGAGCAAAAGAGGGGCTCCGTGATTGTCCCCAAACTGTCCCCGACCCGTGGGGCTGGCGGGCCGCGCCGGGGTGCTGCTGGCTCCGCTCTGCACCCCTATCTCCTGCRCACAGTCCTGCTGGGATCCTGGCTCTGCCCCGTCACGTGGGGCGCTCAGATGGGCTGCTGCAGGCCCAGATAAGACCGCGGGCCTGAAGCCCGAGGGAGAAAATTCCTGGAATCCCACAACATTTTTTTCTTTTAGTCTGCTTTTATATTAAAATAAACAAATCCTTGCTCTTTTTCATCCTATCCTCTGTTCTGCTTACCYATGCTTGCTGTGGTCCCAAGTGGCAGTGTGTTTTGGGATAAAGAAATGTCCCCTGCCCTCCTGAGGCATCCATAGAGGCTCTCTTGCTCCATCCAGGTGACTTGGACACAGGTTTTGTGCCTGAGGGCACAAGTGAAGGGGTTTTTTTAAAAAAAAAAGTCTTTTCCGTGATATGGCCGTGACCTACAGTGATGCAGAAGTGCCTAGAGCAGAATCTGGTGCAGCTAAAGCATCGCTTTGGGAGAGCGTTTCTGGTGTGATCCGTTTGGAAGAGCCTTTTGGAGCTGTTCCCTGCTCAACTCCGCCACCCTCAATCTCAATGCTTGGCCAGGCTGCTCGGGGCGCATTGCCCAGAGATGCAGGGGGCTCCTAGGGTGCCCCCCTAAGTGAGGGGGAAGCCGGGGGGACCTGAGGCTCGCGAACCTAATGCTCTTTGCTCTCCCTCCTGCAGATGACGGCTCGCCTGATGCTGGCGGTGGGCGGCGCAGTGCTGGGTTCCCTGCAGTTCGGCTACAACACGGGTGTCATCAACGCCCCGCAGAAGGTGAGAGCGGAGCGGGGCCGCCCCTCGTCACCGCTGCCGCGGAACCGGCCTCGCTCGGCGCGGCCCCGCGCTCGAAAACAAACACAGCCCCTTCCCGCCTCCCGCGTCCACTATGAGCCCGGCAAAAATAGTACATCCTGTTAGGCGGCTTACTGCCCCTAATGGGATTTGTTAAGGAGTTATTTAGCTCCTGTGTTCCCAGGGGAGTTAGTTTCCTCTTTGCTGAGCGTTTTGCTAAAGAATTCTGGGAAGAGATGCAGATGCTCCRGGAGCCAAGGCTCTTTGGGTGGGATCTGGGTGGCTTTTAACCTCGGCCTTAGCAGAGCTCTCCAAGCCAATTAGGCTCTTAGTCATCCCGGGGGCACTGACCTCTCGGATGGGCGGCCGGAGGAGCCGGTTGTTTTCCCACGTGGAGCGTGAGCCRTGGGAGCTGCGTGCTCCAGGGTGAGCTGCCCGGGGAGTGCTCAYCCCATGGCCGGGGCTCCCCTCATTTCTGGGGGCTAAAGGCTTCGTGCAGGAGGGATTCGGGGCAGCTGTGGAGCTGGTGAGCACAGAAACAGCTCTCTCCAGCGGGAGATATCAGGAGCTGTGATGGCTCTGTGGAGGGAGCTGCAGATCCCACCGAGCTGCAGGTGTAAAGAGGGTGCCCTGGGGCTGTGGGGGTGCAGTGCGGGTGCCAGGTTTAAGAACAAATCCCCAGGAGGAGGATGGCTAGATTTGGAGCCTGGCGCTTGGGCAAAAGGCAAGCAGCGGAGAAGGTCTCCGAAACAAGCCGTGCGGGAAGGGGAGTGAGGAGCAGCAGGCACTTGGTGGCCCTTGTGTAGTAGCTGGCAGGGGCCAGGACGCCATGGTGCCCGGGCACCCTGTAGGGACCCCCAGAAACTTGGGTTCCCCTGCGCTGGGCAGTCCCTGAGTTCTTGAGGGCTGCACAAGTTGGAGGTTCCAACACATGCCCAGGGGTCTGCAGTGGCCAAAGGCAACCCCGGGTCTCGCTGCTGCCACTCGCCTTGCAAGAACGGACCCTTTCCGGGCTGCACGGAGAACCGAAACATCAAACCAGCTGCCACACAGTCCCACCTTTACACCGAGGCAGGACTGGCACCGTGAGAATATTAATCCTGTTGCTGGCAGCAGCTCTAAAGGGGCTGGGCAGCCGTAAGGCTGGATGCGGCCGCAGCCGGAGCGGCTGGAGAGGTTGGGATTGCGGCTCTGTGGCGTGTGCTCTGCTTCCCCTGTCCCCTGGGCCGTGCGGATGGAGAGCTGGGGAGCAGATGCCCTGGAATTACCACCTTGCGTCCGCGCTCCACCTACAACGTGAATGCGGTTCCTTTCCTCGTGGCTTTGTTTTCCTCCTGATCCGGAGGCTGGGATGTGCTGAGAGGGGCTGTTTGGATTTGGGATATCCATGGATGGCGGCGTTGCTCCCGCTGGCTGCCGTTCAGAAAAGCAGCCAAGAAAGGCGCCTTTCTTGCCCGCTGACCACTCAATTTGTGGCCCTCTTAATATAGTTCTCCCTGTCCGGCCTCCCCTATTCCCGCTGGGCAGGAGCAGCCTGGAACGAGTGGAAAAGTTTCCACTATTTAAAAAAAAAAAAGTGTGAGGGAGAGTGAGGAAAAGCAGTTTGGGAAGCATGACTTTCCTTTCTTTCCTAGGGTGAGGGGCTTCTCCTGCACTTTAAACTCCAAAGGTTGTTTAATTTTTTCCCTTCTCAAAATCTGATCACAGGGGAATTTCCCTCAGGACGTTTTGTAGGAGCAAACGGGAGGGGATTTTCTAAGAAACCTTTCCCTTTGCTCCTGATAATCCAGGTCTAGGCGAGGGTGCGTTTGCCCTTGGGGCTTTCGGCTGAGCTCCGGGGCAGGGCCAGAGCATCAAGTACTTCCCGGTGGGATCTGGGGGGGTTCCTGCTCTCCGTGTCACCTTCCCGCTTCCCTGGGGCTGCCTTGCTCCGTGCTCGAGGAAGGGAGAAGAGCTCTGGATGCTGCCGGGGCTGGAGAGCTCTCCCAAGCCGCCCACTTGCACTGCAGCTCTTTGTCATGCCTTGGAATCAATAGGGCAATGATTCAGGAGCATTGGTGATAAYGAAATCCGTGCGTACGTGCCCAGATGGGGATCAGCAGCAAGCAGGGATAAAGCTCYGCGCTTCCCTTGTGGAGCTGGATCCCGTCTCCCCTCACAGCCCTTCTTTTTAGCCCAGAAAGAGCCTTATTTCCCTCTGTGCCCTGGTGTTTCAAAGGCAGAGTTTGGCCAAACACTTCTATCCCTGGTGATGTTTCCATGTGTTTTAGTGMTCAGAGGCCCTGGGCTCCTCTCCAGCTCTTTTCCCAGACTGGGAAGTTGGGAAGATGAAGCCCCTTTCCCTGAGGTCCCAGCAAGAGGACACATCTGCGAGTCCTGCTGGGTGCCGGCCGCCTCTGCGCAACAAATAATAATTAAAATGCTCCGAGTTAGTTGTTTTGGTGACATAAGGGCGGGAGGAAAAGCCCAGGCAGCAAAACCTCGAGGCAAAGCAGGCGGGGTGACCTAGAGACAGGCCAGTGAAGTCACTGGAGCCTTGAAATTCTAGCAATTTGGGGGCTTTGTGAAAGCAGGAAGAGGCACTTTGTTGGAATTCAGAGGGAAGCACGTGATGCAAATTGTGCTTTTTGTGCTGCCTCTGCCAGGGCTCTCCCTGTTAAACGACACAGGGCTTGAAAACGGGAGCCGCTTGTGCGACCGCTGCCTTCGCAGGGCTGGCTCTGCTCGTGTAAAACCCCCCGAAACACCAGCACGGGCCGTTTTAAACCCAGCAGGAGCTGCCCTCGCTCCCAGGAATCTTCCTGGCAGCTGCTTTGCTGTTAGCCGGCGCGGTGGTGCCCCACACTTTCCGAAATGGGGGGATTTGTGTAAATTCATGGGGGAGCCGCTCGCGTGGCCCCGGCTCTCCGGGAGGCGCAAAGCAGCGGCTGGGGACGTCAAAGCAGTGCCTACAGGTATTGCATGAACGGGCAAGCCCTGTGCTTGCTTCCTTTGGGCCCAGCACAYGGTGTTTGGGGAAGGGGCTGTTCCTGGCCTCGGGATCACGGGCGGGAAGCTCCAGTGGGATGCGAGTCGCGCTCACGAGGTTGCCCGGCCTCAGCCGCCTCCTCCCCGTCTTCCTCCAGCGCCTCCGTCCCCGTGGCCTCCCCGAGGAGGCGATGCCGCTCGCTGCGGTCCCCGTGGCCTCCCCGAGGAGGCGATGCCGCTCGCTGCGCCGGCCGCGTCCTTGTTCCCCCGGGGAGGAGCGCGGCCTTCCCGCGGCGGCGGCAGCTTCAGAGGCCGTCGTCACCTCGGAGCAGGGCGAGACGGAACCTGTCTGGCCGCTTTCTGTCCCGTGGCGCTCCGCTCGCCCGCGGCGGGGTGGCTCCCGCGCCGTGCCAAGCGAAGGGCGCCGCGGCGCGCGCCGGCCTCGCTCCGTGACACATCGTCTTGTGACGGAGGGAGAGCCAGGCCGAGCCTCGTGACTCGGAGGCTGGCGGGCCCGCCCGGCGCGGCTCGCGGGGGCCTGAAACCCCTGCAGGGGGATGGCAGCCCGTGCGGGCGGCCGGCGGCGGTGGGCGAGCGCCGTCGTGGTGCCGGCGGCGCCAGCGCGGCTCCCGGAGCGGGCCTGGGCAGAGCTGCATGTCGCCCGCCCTCGCGGTGCCGGCGAGACTCGTGCCCTGAGCCTGGCACAACCGTGGCCGTCCCGGGGCTGGAGTTGGGCACGGTGGTGTTTGGAGGCCGCCGCACTGGGCAGCGCGACGGGGCTGTAGCCATCGTGTCCGTCCCGCGTGCTGAGCGGCGCACGCGTCTGTCCAGGTGCTGCTCTGCACCGYGAAGGCAGCGGAGCTCGGTGCCCGGCGCGGCCCCGTCTCGCCCGCAGGGAACCCCGGCGAGCGCCGCAGCACGAGCGCGGGCAGCGCGCCGCGAGGCTCCTCCGCTGCTTTAGTTTCTCCCCGTTGCCTCTTGCAGGTGATCGAGGACTTCTACAACCGGACCTGGCTGTACCGATACGATGAGCCCATCAGCCCCGGCACCCTCACCACGCTCTGGTCCCTCTCCGTCGCTATCTTCTCCGTCGGAGGCATGGTGGGATCCTTCTCYGTGGGGCTCTTTGTCAATCGCTTTGGCCGGTAAGCACCAGGCACGCGGCCCGGAGCCCGTCCCCACGCAGCGCGGCCGCTCCTGGCTCCTCGAGCAGCTCCGTCACCTCCTCGCGCCCTGGCAGCCGGGAGCGGGCTCCGTGCTTCCTGCCTTGCCCAYGAGGCTGTTCCACGCGCTCCGTAACTTGTCGCCGCCTGCTCCGCGAGCTGGCAAGTCCTTGCGGTGCCTTGTCCTGCTGCAGGGCTGAGCCCCTCCTGCAAGCCAAGAGCTCTTAGTCGGTCCCTTAATAGCTTCTCTGTTGGCCTCTTCCGAGCCCGCTGTTTCCAATCGGCTCCTGTCAAAAGCCTTGCTGCGTGTTTGCTCCTTAGGGCAACATCTGTTTAAGTGTCCTGCTGTCAGAGGGGAGCCTCGCGCCGCTGTTAGCCGGCCCCGCCGGCCCTCAGCTGCGCGGAGCCTCGTGCCTGCGCCCCGCGGTGCCGCCCTGCGCRCTGCCTCCGCGTGCCTCGCTGCGTGGGGAGCGCTCTCTAGCTCGGCCTCCYGAGGATGCCAACAATAACCAGGCGGCACGGCCTCTCCTGGCCTGGTTTCCATGCATTTAGGGTTTAAGGGYGATGCTGTTGTCTCCCTGCTGACGTTTTTCTCCTTTTTGTGCATCACGGAGCTCAGGTGAACGCAGTAGCTGCCTCCGTTTCTGACTGCTGACAGCAGTTGTTTTGTGGCCTGCGCCCGCCCTCCAGCCAAGAACTGTCGTTTGGGTCCATTAAACAGTTAAAACGGTGTCTCTTGGTGACCCTTCAGCTTCGTGACACCCCCTTCCTGGGGTCCTCACCACCTTCCTTCCTTGTCTCCRCAGGCGAAACTCCATGCTCATGTCCAACGCGCTCGCCTTCCTGTCCGCTGTCCTCATGGGCTTCTCCAAGATGGCCTATTCCTTCGAGATGCTCATCCTGGGCCGCTTCATCATCGGCCTCTATTCCGGCCTCACTACGGGCTTCGTGCCCATGTACGTGGGCGAGGTGTCACCGACGGCTCTGCGGGGMGCGCTGGGCACCTTCCACCAGCTTGGCATCGTCCTGGGCATCCTCATCGCGCAGGTGAGCGTCACCTAAGCCATCCGTGCCGGTCGCAGTGTTGTTGCTGGGGAGTCCCTGAGGTTCCCTGTGTGGCAGTCTGTGGGTGTCCCAAGCAGCGGSTTTGGATTCAGTTTGTTGCGAGCCGTAAGGGGGAAAGGAAGAGCCTGTTGCGCTCCTGTGCTTCAACCCGCCTTGTTCTCAGGTGTTYGGATTGGACTTAATCATGGGAAACGACTCGCTCTGGCCACTGCTCCTGGGCTTCATCTTTGTCCCTGCCCTGCTGCAATGCATCATCCTGCCCTTCGCGCCCGAGAGCCCCCGCTTCCTGCTCATCAACCGCAACGAGGAGAACAAAGCCAAGAGCGGTGAGTGACAGGTCCCCCACTCCTCCCGTTGCGCGTGGGGGTCCTTGGCCACCCCTGACGTGGCCTCCCCCTGCCCCCGCAGTCCTAAAGAAGCTCCGGGGGACCACGGACGTTAGCAGCGACCTCCAGGAGATGAAGGAGGAGAGCCGGCAGATGATGAGGGAGAAGAAGGTCACCATCATGGAGCTCTTCCGCTCGCCCATGTATCGGCAGCCCATCCTCATCGCGATCGTGCTGCAGCTCTCCCAGCAGCTCTCGGGCATCAATGCGGTGAGTTTGGGCTGGGGAACGTGTGCGGCGGTCGAATCAGGGCCGCTTCTGCACCGGCCCCATGCTGCTGCCAGGCACCTATCCTCACGGCACATCCCTTCCTTTTGTAGGTTTTCTACTATTCCACCAGCATCTTTGAGAAGTCGGGCGTGGAGCAGCCMGTCTACGCCACCATCGGCTCCGGCGTGGTCAATACGGCCTTCACGGTTGTTTCGGTGAGTTTCTGGCTCTCCTTGCATTAGTGCCGGGCTGGAGCYGCGACGGAGCCGCGAGCACAAGCTCGGGGTGCGGAGCGGCTGCGGGAGGCGCTGGAAGCCCCAGCAGGGACGTGTCCTACCAAGGACACCCCAAATTCAGCCTGTGGGGAGGAGCTGATGGACGCGCGTGTCCCCTCTCTCGACAGCTCTTCGTGGTGGAGCGCGCCGGGCGCAGGACCCTGCACCTCATCGGCTTGGCGGGGATGGCCGGCTGCGCGGTGCTCATGACCATTGCCCTGACGCTGCTGGTGAGCGGCGCGGCCCAGCGTGTGGGATGGGGAGGGTTGGCAGAGGGCGCTGCCCCTTTGCTGCGGGGAAGGCTTGGCTGAAGAGGAGGAGGCCCTTCCTCCTCCCAGGGGTGACGGTGTGTTGCTGGCTGCTCCACGTCTCCATCAAGAGSGTCAAAAAACAGCCCATAATGTGGAGAAACGGTGTCTCCTCGTGGCTTCTGTGAGACTACTGCCTTCAGTGTCGCTTCCCCTTCCAATGCTTCACCCATCCATCCCTGGCGTGGCTGAGCCGAGCTTACCTGCCTTCTCTCCTTCTCTGGACTAGGACCAAATGCCCTGGATGTCCTACCTCAGCATCGTTGCCATCTTCGGGTTCGTGGCCTTCTTCGAGATTGGGCCGGGCCCCATCCCCTGGTTTATCGTGGCGGAGCTGTTCAGCCAAGGTCCTCGTCCCGCCGCTTTCGCGGTCGCCGGGTTGTCTAACTGGACCTCCAACTTCATCGTGGGCATGGGCTTCCAGTACATCGCGGTAATGCTCCCTGCGGGCGCGCGGTGGGCACGGGGCTTGCATTCCTTGCACTAGGGGCAGCTGGATCGGGCCAGTGGAAGAGATTTGGATCCCCAAAACCCAGGCTGAGAGTAGGGTTTGGATTTGCTGGGAACKTTCTTTGGGAAAGGCCCTTAAGGGAAGAAGGATGGGGCCGTGGTCTGAGACACTGAACAACTAGGTCCTGGACCAGGCTGGCCTGATTTTCTAGGCAGCAGGTGGGTGCAGGACAGGCACTAGATCACAAGTGCCAAGGTCACTAGGCTCTGGTGCCTCRTTTTGTCCCTAAAATTGGTTAGCAGACATGGCTGCGCTCAAGCCAACCCAGCAAAGCCCCTGGGTTTCGCTGGCTCCATCCCCACGCTCACGGCTCCTCCTCTCTCTCCTTCCAGCAACTCTGCGGCTCCTACGTCTTCATCATCTTCACGGTGCTGCTAGTCCTCTTCTTCATCTTCACCTACTTCAAGGTGCCGGAGACGAAGGGCCGGACCTTCGACGAGATCGCGTCCGGCTTCCGTCAGGGGGGCGCGAGCCAGAGCGACAAGACCCCGGACGAGTTTCACAGCCTGGGGGCCGACTCGCAGGTCTAACAGCGCCCGGCTCCTCCGAGCCTCCTACCTTCTCTCCTGAGTGTTTTTAATGCTTGTACAGAAACCAGGAAGGAGGGAGCGGGGGGTCTGGCTCTTGTTCATACCTTCCTTCTCCAGACTCCCCCACCGGCCGCCTGGTTTATCGGTGACAGACTGACAATTTTTTTTCTTTTTATTTTTTTTTTTGGCTAGGAACGATTTTAGCTGATTTTATGTCCAGGATTTCAAAGCCGATAGATCAGAAGCGATGACTAATGTTTTAAAAACCAACCAAGCCGTGTCCTCCAGCTTCCCTTTTTAATGAAGCGATAGATTATTTAACGAGAAATCACATAGTGGAAAGTTTTTAAAGCTGGAAACTTTTTTTTAACACTCTAATCATAGAAAAACACATAATTTGACTTAAAGTCTAAAGCAACAACAAACAAAGCATTTTTTTTAAAGATTTTTTTAATTTTAAACGAGTTATTTTTGAAAGCAGTCTAAGATTTCAACCCCTGCCGTGGGTTCGTGGATTCCCTGCGCTGCAGGAGCAGGGCAGCCTCGGGCAGAGCTGAGCATGGGAAGGGCTGTGGACACGGTTGTGGTGTGTGCGGAGCGGGTCGGGAAGGCCGGTGTCCTGGCGCGGAGCGGGTCGGGAAGGCCGCTGTCCTTGTCCAGCAGCTCCCCGGCTCCCCTTGCGGCGGGATCTGTCTCCAGCCTCAAACGCTCCCTCGCTCCGTCTTTGGCCGGCCGCACGCTCCAAGACGCCGCAGGGGCCGCGGAGCCGCCGCGAGGGCAGGCGGCTCCTTGGTTCTCGTCCCAGCAATAACGCAGCAAAGGCAGCGGCCGGCGGGACCCGAGGCCGAGCAGCCGCGGCGCTCCCCGGCAYGGCGGCGAGCCCAGGAGCCCGAGCGCCGCGTCGACACGAGCGGCCCCAGGCCCCGCTCCAGCAAACCTGCCCCTCGCCTCACGTCCYGGACTCACCCAAATTCATCATTTGGATACCTACATTTCCTGCTCTGTGTATAGACTGGAAGATATTTATATATATATATTTTTGTTCAATGGTGTTAATAGTAGACATTAAGTTATAGTGTTTCTGATTGACAAGCAAAGTACTGTAAATATTCTTGAGGTATATTCACATTGTATAATGTATACAAAAAGGTACAGATACAAAGGTATAGTTTCTATAGCAACTGTAAGAAAGGCTTGTACATGGTTAGGATGACTTTTGTATAGTTCATTACCTGCACTGTAGTTGTATCTATTGCACTGAATTTTAGTCTTTAGTATATCAAAACCAAGAAATACTGTCGTTTTAAAACAAAACTAAAAAACACACACACAAAAACCAGCATTTCTGCCCTGGGCGCATCTGTCAGCAAAGCGAGTGGCACAGTCCCCCAGCCGCACGAGTTATTAAATCCTGTTTCTTTTGTATTTATACGTCTGGTTTTAAAGGGGTGAATTGGTGACTATATGTTTGAAAGAAAATAAAGTTAGGGAAGCAAAACCTTCCCCTCCCTGTGAACCATCACCTCGGAGCAAGTGCCAAGAGCGAGCGCCGCGTGCTAGCAATAAATGGGAGCGCTCGCAGCGACCCAGCYGCCCGCGTGGCCTCCGCTTCTTTTGAGGGCAATTCCATTGTGCTGCTGAGCCTGGCCCAGCTGAGCCYGGCTCTGCATGCCCGTGGGCCCTGAACGTCCTCGGGCGCTTGCGGGGGCTCCGAGCATCCTTGTGTCCTTGGTGGTGGCCGGTGTTGCCACCTTCTGGCTGCCACGGAGCTGTCCCAGCCGCCACGGGACCCTGGTGGCTCCGGTTGTCCCATCCAGTCCCTACCTGGGACTGACCCCTGTGTTTAAGCTCCAGSCTGGGCTTGTTGCCCAGCAAGAGCCCCTGCGACCGGCCCGGCCGCGTTGGCATGGGGCTGCCTGGGGTCCTCTTGTTGGGATCATCCCAGCAGGGCAGTGCCGGCCCTCTTGGCTGCTCCATGGTGTATTTTTAATTCTCCGTTAAGGGAGAGCAGCAAGTCAGAACACTTTCAGGCAGAGAAATGCTGATTTTGGTCGTTTCAGGCGCTTTCTTGCAATACCTGCCCCCGAAATGCCCACGCTGGAAGCGGCGCGCTCAGAACAGCGCTCGTAAAACCTGCGGCGGCTCCGAACTCGCTGCGGGCGCCGGCAGCGCGGCCGGCCGTCTCTGTAGGGACTTGCCCGGGAGCCCTCGCGCGGGCTCGCCCGCCGCCAGCCCTCGCTCGGCACCCTGCGGGCGCCGCTCCCGGCGCTGCCCGGCCGGCGTCACCCTGCACGGCGGCCGGGAAGGGCTGCCCGGCGCCGCGCGGCTCCTCCGCACAGCCCCGCGCGCAGGGCACGCTGCCGCGGCGGGATTAGATCCCTTGCAAATCCGCAGCCGCGGTGACCCAAATCCTCGGCATCCCAAGGAGCGGTGCCAGCAGGCGCCCGCTCCCCCGGCCCACAGCGAGGCCCAGGGTCCCTCTTCAAGGCCCAGGGCCCCCGTGCCCGCCTGGCTTTTCCTGCCTGTGCCGTTAACCGTGGGCTGGATGGGAGCGAGGGGCTCTGCCTTCCCCAGCAGCGTCCCCCCTTTTAATCCCTTGTCTCCCAGCCCCTCGTTGCAACACGCTCAACTCCATCCCGCTGCAGCGAGGCAATTAAGTGCCCTCCTAAATCCTCCCCGAAGCAAATGAGACTTAATCGCCGGCTTAAAGCTGAGCTGAACGCGGACCTTCGGAGCAGGGCGAGTTTCCCCTCTCCTCTCTGCACGGGGCCGTCACATGCTGCGGGGTCTGCAGGGAGTTCACRGCGCACCCTGCACGTCTCCCCAGCGCCCTTTGCCAGCCCTCGTGCCCAAAATTGCCCTTAAATTGCTCATGTCTTCCAAATTGCCCTTAAAGGCCACCTTTGCCTTTGCCCCAAGGGTTGCGCATCCCCTGCCCTGCTTGTGGTCCCGAATGTTGTCCTCATGGTCCTTCCTGGATGTGAATTGCATCAGAAATTCCAGAGCCCCTCAATGGCCACTGCTGCAAGACTCCCCGAAAGTGGTGCAGAAAGGAGGGAAATGCTGCCCTTAGCTCCTGCACACATGGAGTGAGGAYGTAGGAGGCTGTTTGTTTCATGCTAGCAGGTAGGTAATTATTTATTCACCTTGTGTTGGTTGGGTTTTTTTTTTTGGTTTCCCACCCTCACCCTGTGAGTCACTGCACAACTATCTGCCCTGCTGACCGGCCCAGGAGACACGAAAGGGCCAYGAAGTTTAACTCCCAACAGCTTGAGAGGGAAAAGGCACACGTGGAGAAGGATGCCAGGAGCAGAAAGGGGCTCCGCTTTGCAAGGCATTTGCATTAAGTTCTCAGCAATCCTGTGAAGGCAGACGATCTAGAGAGAGCTCCTCATTTCCCGTAGCAAGGCTTGGAGTTGATCAAATTCAACAAATGATCAACRGCCTCCAAAGACTCTTGCTGGGGCAGTTGCTTCATCAGGTCCAAGGCTTTTGCCCCCATTTCCCGTGCCTGGAAAGAAGCAGCAGAGACAAAACAACTGCAACGAACCTGCCTTTTCTCAATGGGTGCTTGAAATATCCGCGGAGCTTCACGGGAACAGGCGCTGGATCGCATCCAGGCTCCAGCAATTCAACCACTTGTTTCAGAGGGTGACCTGGGCAAGCTGCTTTAGAGGAGGGAGTAAAGCTGCCAACAGATATCATCATATTTAGGATCCAGTTGTGCAGACAGAAGAGATTACGGAGCCCAGCTCCCCCCCGCGGGAGATCATTACTTTCCGTCTGATAAAGCAGTTCATGTGAGCGCTCCCACATCTATTTCAGGAAAAAAACAGCTGCATTGACTCAGTTATTAAACTAAATCCCTCATTTCTCTTGGTAACTGCTCTAGTGATTAGACTCTCAGAAAGATTTGCCTTTTTTTTTTCTTTTTTCTAATTTGGATTTGTCTACTTGGCTCTTCCAACCACTAATTCTAGTTATGACTTTTTCTGCTACCATTAAGGGACCACTAGTGAACCACATTTTCACCCTCTAAGAGACAGACAGAACAAACTTAGGATTTTTTTTTGAACACTTGGCCCATCRTCATTGCTCCTTGGTGCTCCAAGGGAGTTACCACCTCGGGATCGGCACAGTCTGCTCGTGTTGCTCGCTTCTTGCGCCAGTGCGCTGGCCCTGACTGACCCAGGATAAAGTTGCAAAGCTCCATTGGAGTGAGGCACCCTGCACAAGGGTTTGGTGGGTGGATGTTCAAGCTGACTGCAAAGCCCTGTTTGATAGGCAGCATAAAACACCCGACAGGTTCACTGAGGCAAAGGTTACATGAGCAAACATTGCTCTATGAATATAAACGGTGTGACCTTTCACTGAGGACAAAAGCAGTCCTCACCAGGTGAAACCTACCTTTGATAAATCCCCGTTCAGGTAATAAAGCATTGCAAGGGAATGCAAAACTTTGGCGGTTCCATCAGGCTGTTGCTTTGGTGCCTTTTCTCTGAAATCTAATATTGTATTCAGTGCTTGAATTGCTTCAGTTTGCTGGGCTTCAGCTGCACCAGAAAGAAATAATCTTGTTGGCTGTATGTGTGCAAGATAATATATTCAAAACTGTCCAATTATCTCTTCTAGACATCAAAGCCCTTCTACTACAAGCATCAACGTGGTATTCCAGCTCCATGCAAATTCCATACCCATTAACAGATATCTTTTCATCCTGTCAGTAATTGTGTTGATGAGCCTTTAGTAAGGATGTTGAGTCATAACAGCTGCATGAAAAGAGCAACTTTTGTATCGCCGTCATGACCGAAGATCATATCGGGCAGCCCGGTCCTGGTGCGGTTTCTGCTGCAGCAACTGCTGATGGAGAGGAAGCCGTGGAAGGGGATCCACGGCAGTGTTTTTCCTCTCTGATAATGCTCTTGTACCAGAGATATTGGAAGACAACAGAGTTGGGAGTGCATGAGCTCCAGCCCTTGATTAAATTTGGTCTACAAAAATATCGGYGACAAAACAACCCAGTAAAATAAGGGCAGTGGGATACAGGGATTCTTTAATCCCATCTCCCAGCCTATTCCGCTTAACTGGGCAACTTACTGAGAGGCTCTTCACTGACGTCCCTGTCCTCATCGAACGGAGACGCTTCTGCTTGTGTCTTGAGAATCTGCTCCTGCGTTTGGACTGACTTCAGGAGAAAGGCATGCCAGATGGCTGTCACCTACCAGGAAGGGAATGGGAATGATTTCACTTGCATTAGCCCAGGCTGTTTAGCAACCAGCTAGGGTGTGAGCAACGTGCCCTGCCATACAAGCCCATGCCATGATAACCTGGTCAGCGGGCTGGCCGCTG